TTTATCAATCTGCGGCTGCAAACATTTTCGGTGACGTTGCTTAGATGATGTAACCATTCAGGCCGTGCATTAAATGGTTTGGCGAACTCTTTGGTTGTGTATGAAAACCTATTTTTGCCCTAATAAAATACATTTTCAAAAGGACACGTGCCTTCTGCTGATACATATCTTCCAATTAACAATGCAGATGCAAAAAAGAAAATCAACAGTGTACACCTACCACTTAGCATAAGCACCTTTTGCCATTCATTCTTGAGCACACTCAAATATCAGCTTAGGTTGCTCTTGTTTTAGAAGCTTTGCCCTGTTTTGTAAAAAGAAAAAAAAAATTAAAAAAAAGCTTTACCTTTGTTTTCCTTCTGGCATTTAATACAGACTTGCTTATTTTGCACATCACACACAGCAGATATCACCGTGGTACATACAACTCGAACGGCCGATGAGACTATTGCTATTACAATAAAGCTTTCCACAAAAGCCATAAGGAGGCTTGTAGGGGTGCACAAGCACATCGAAATGAGATTGGCGCTTCCGGGACTTGTTTACATTATGCTTAAAAACAGGACGATCGGCGACCAGCTGACCGCAATATAACACCAAGGATACCGATGTTTCGATACATAGAACGCAGGATAAAGACCTGAATCGTCCCTTGTATGCTGTAGCTGTCACACTTTCCATCCAACCGTTTTTTAGCACAAGTAACTAGAACCGAAGAGTTCGGAACACCGTTTAATGCGAGGCCTGAATGGTCACTTCATCTAAGCAACGTCAACGAAAATGTTTGTAGCCGCAGACCGAAAAGTTTAGTTTTAGATAAAGTACGCGTCATAGTTTCAACGCGCCAACATTGTTGATGTGCACCTTTCTTTGGATCCGCGTACATTCGGTTCAACTTGATGACAGCTGCACAAGCGTGAGAGCTCACGTCGAACACTTGCACACATATCTTGACTATGGCAAGATTTCTTGCCTTCGACTGGCTTGAACACTTCATTTGTAGCATCACGGTTGGTCTTGGTTGAAGCGATGATCGTCTCGCAAACGTAAGCAAACAGAGAACGACACGCTTTGTTTAATTTATACGCTACCGGTCTACGGGCGTCGCAAATCTATCCCCCTCTTTTCCGCCATGTTGGATCGGTCGGAGCGTCCCCTGTATTCGCTGAAACTCCTCATGCTCTGACTTTACAACAATGCAAATACCTCGTGCATTGGACTTCTAAAGACTAGAGCACTATATAGCTCCTTCGGAGCAGAGTAGCGCAATCTAGAACGCCATCTCTCGGCGACTAGCGGCGAACGCCCGGGGGCTCCAACTCCGGTCAGAAATGTTTCCTCAATATTGAGGAAACATTTCATTGTTTCCTCAATATTGTGGAGATGTGCGGAACGTCAATAGTTTTTGACATAATAAAAAAAGCAGTTTAGAATAATTTGCGCTAAGTTGCGTGCCATGTAAGGACATAATTAAAAAAAAACAATTGCCTGAGCGGCATCATGCAGCAGACGACGCGGTGACGTCGCACCGTCCACGTGACCCGCTACGGCCAACCCAGAAAGTCCATCTCCGCTGCGTACAAAAATCGTCTGCTTCAAACGCCATTGCCTTGGAAATTGCCTTCTCAAAATTTTCACACGTATCCGATATTATGAAAACTTTAATAAAATGTTTATTGTTTTACCAACTTCACGACAGACTAGTTTCAAAAAGTGTGAAGTTGGCGTTTATTTTTTAATCAGCCGTGTGGAGTCGATCTCCATGTATTCTCCCATAGGGCGGGCTGCCTCCTGGAACCCCGAGTACCACGTGACTCGCGCCGCGCTGCTCCGTGGGCCATGTTGCCGGCGGAACACGCGGATCAAAGGATTGCGTTACTCTGCTCCGTAGGAGCTATATAGTGCTCTATTAAAGACTACCGAAACCGACAGATTAATCTCTACGTCACTACCTATTTCCGAACACTTGAAAGACGAGAATGCAAAATGTCAGTTTTGGTATTTCGCGTGCATTACTGGGCACAAAATAAGCCTCACATGATTCTACAAAAAATGAGTGGTATACTAAGCCAGCACTGCCACGAGAAACACTCCTTTTAGAAAAAGTTTAGTATGATTCAGCATCTCGCGAGCTTTGAGTGTGCACGGGCCAAAAGCCCGACAGAAAGCAACAATTACGTCCGGCCGTCTGGCTGCCGAGCTCCGAGCCTCAGCTTCCCCCCCCCATATAGGGCAAAGCTCTTTACGTAAACAAATATCTGCTAGACAAACCGAGCACGCGCCCAAACGGCCATACGTGTGCAAAAGGCCGCCGCACCGCACGCACCACTCCAGCAACGTAAGCGACGTAAGCGCACAGCACACTGCACAGCATGCGTACAAAGAGTGAGGAGCATTTGCGCTTCCGCCACCTGCGCCCTGTCCAAAGCGGACACTGTAGTGTGCTGCGAACACGCGAAGAACGCATGACGTGAAGGAGCCAACGCCGCGTCGATGAAAGAGAGAGAAAGAGAAATGTCGTCTAAACGCTCGAGTAAAACAAAAAAAAAAAAAAAAAAAAAGGTCGACGAAATGTAGTAATTTGGTGGCTGAGTATTAAGCTCTGTCGAGCATGGAATGTCCAAGAGACGATCTTCGGATGACACATCGATGGAACAAATGTCGAAGAAACGATCTTCCGATGAAACATCGCAGTGTCGCTGAAACAATCTGTCTATGAAACCTTGTTCGACGAACTGATTGCCCATTGTAAAACTGCGCGTCAAGAATGACGCGGCTTGCCACATAGAAAGTGGCGCGCCCTACATCATCGAAAGCGCGACAAAGAGCCACGTAGGGACGTCCCCAAACCCCCAAACCAAACCAAGCAAAGTCATGCCAAAGTCAAACCAATCCAAACGAAATCAATTCAAGGACGGCAGCATGTATCAAGATAATAAATGCTGACAGTATTTTATAAAGGCCGAAATGACTGAAAAACAATGCCGGCCGATGATTCCCTAAATCGCAGCCTATTCCGGCAAACACGGTCGACCAACAAAAGCAGAAGCAACTCGAGTGAGAAGGAAACTCGTCCACCGCGGCCTCTGTTCATAGACTAGCATACGACTGACGGACACCACTGTCAACAGGGATTATGATGAGATTTCAAACCGTCGTCACGTGAAACCACCCTACCTAATATTTCCGCCCTCCCCTCCCCCCCCCCCCCCCGCCCCAAGAAAAAAAAATGGTCGATGCATATGTTTACTATGTATACATTCTGCATAACTTCCGTAGAATTACGTGTGGGTGGCACAAAAAAAGAAACGGGGGTGATATATGTAGTAATTGCTTATCTGTGTATAAATGAGCGAGGAATGGCACAGCGAGGCGATGCTCTAATCACTGCTACGTTGTCTGCGTAACCGGTCGGAAGTCGCGTTTGTGTTTTTCCGCCGCCCTTGTCAGCAGGCGAAAGTTAAACACACCCACTTTCGTCAGCTTGCATTTAGTTTCTTTCGTAACTCATCCAGGTTTACGAAATTTGGTAGAAATGTGCGGGGCATAAACATTAACATAGTACATTCTTTTAAAATTGGATTAGTGGCTCAGATGCTCACTGTTTTGGGGTAGTTTCCCCGCCGCACGACTCACGCGAAGACAAACCAACGGCTTCAGAGAAACAAAAGAAAGCAACCGGCAAGCGTGATGACCTGTGAGTGTGAGGATCTGTGAGTGGGACGAGCGTGAAGACCTGTGTAAGGACCGTGAGGACCTGCGAGTGTGATGAGTGTGATGACCTGTGAAAGTGAGGACCGTGAGGAGCTGTGAGTGTAAGTGCCGTGAGGACCGTGATGACCTGTGAGTATGAGGACCGTGAGGATCTGTGAGTGTGATGACCTGTGAGTGTGAGGACCGTGAGGATCTGTGAGTGTGATGACCTGTGAGTCTGATGATTCGTGATGACCAGTGAGCGTGATGACCGTGATGATCTGTGAGCATGACGACCGTGATGATGACGGCGAGTGAGTTTTGGTTTTGCGTTGAACCGTGAGGGTGAGTCCGGGTGATGACCCTATTTTGAATAAATCGTGATCGTGAGTGGGCGTGAGTTCTGATTGAGGAAAAAATGGTGATCGTGAGTTTGAGTGAGGACAGCTTAAAATGCCGACCTATGCTGTAGTATCACCAACTGAAGACAAAGGAGAATGTGTACGGGCAACCGGTATTGCTGGCAATTCTTCGGGTTCCCACCAGACAGCTGTTTCTGCTCTGTGGGTGAGCAGTGTTGGTTGGTTGATCGCCTGATGACTCTAGCTCGTAACACCCATTGGCAAAAACCAATGACCTAAAAGTACAAGAATTTTATTTTCGAATGAAATAAAAAAATCAATTTTAAAATCTATTTGAGTATTATTCTTTCAAGACATGGAGTATACCTTCTAATATACATTTTAATGTACTTTTTGTGTACTTCGTGTTGTGCGTTGCGAACGTCGACCCACTTGGGCAACTAAAGGGAACGTACTGAAGATATATTTTAAATACGCTGTTGTAAAGAAATATATACTTAAACTATATATTTAGAAGTGTTTTATAAATGCACGAAGATAGTGTGCATTTTAAGTGCATTGCGTTTTGCAAAGGGTGAGAGAACCTACGCAGCGGTAGTTTAACTTGGTGTTTATTCTGGGAACTATTGTATTATCGCGTCCAGCCTGGTCTTCGTACTGATCCCCAGTTGGCGGACTCGAATCCCAGCCGAGGTGCCAGAAATATCACAAAAGCTTATTGCGGAGAAGACGTCGTGTAACCAAGATTTCGGTTGCACGTCAAGGAACCCCTAGTGGTCGAAATTAATCCCCAGTCTCCGCTAGGTCGTGCCAGATATCCTTCGCCGGTTTGGCGCATAAACCCCCCCCCCCCCCCCCATCCCCCCCCTCCCCCCAATTTTGATTTTTGTGCCCGATCTTCGGCAGCCCTGATTCATTGAGTATTGTTCCACCTGTACCTCGCAGGCAGCGGGCAGATCCAGCTGTGGCAGTTCCTGCTCGAGCTGCTCTCGGACAGCACCAACGCCAACTGCATCACCTGGGAGGGTCAGAACGGCGAGTTCAAGCTCATCGACCCGGACGAAGTGGCACGCCGCTGGGGCGAGCGCAAGAGCAAGCCCAATATGAACTACGACAAGCTGAGCCGGGCGCTGCGCTACTACTACGACAAGAACATCATGACCAAGGTGCACGGGAAGCGGTACGCCTACAAGTTCGACTTCCATGGCCTCACGCAGGCGCAGCAGGCGCCCACCACGGAGACGTCGGCTGCGTACAGGCTACAGACGGAACTGTTTCTGCCCCACTACCGGAGCAACTACATCGGCGGACAGACGGGGCCCGTGGGGCTGCCCCCGTCGGCGACCGCGGTACGGAGTCCCTACTGGACTCCTGGAGCGACGGGGCCCTGCAACCTCTACCCCAACCTGTCCGGACACTCGCTGAGTCACGCGAGCCACAGGGCGAACAGCCTGAGTCCCTACTACGCATGACGGTGGTACCGGGACTGTGGGAACTTTCTCGCTTCCAAGTTGCCGACGACGACGTGAGGTGTACCCTCGGGACGGTGTTGAGGTGTGCTTCTGTCGTTGTGCACGGTGCTTCACGAACATGCGTGCGTGAGTGTGTGTAAACTGGTTCCGGAAGAAGCAGTGCGGAACTCGGCAGGGGAATGGACCTTCGCGAATGAGCACTCATCGGGTTTCCGGAGCAGCTGTAGAGTTGTGAACGATTTGTGGCGAAACAGATTTTGGACTCCTTGCTTCTTGTTGAGCCGGTGCGGTGTTTTCTTTTTGAGTGATTGAGGGACGGCACTTGAAAATCGTTTAAATTGCCTCTCTTTCCTATTATATTGTACTAGTACCTTGGCTCACAAAGTGCAAACGTAAATTCTGTTTCCGAACGCTTTTTTTTTTTTTTTTTCGCTTGAGAACTTGGTTGAGGGATAAGAGGCTTGAGCAGTCATGAAGCTTTGTGTGTGATTGTCGTGGTGGATTCGGGAGTCACCAAACCAAAACATAATGCGCAAGGCTAAAAAATACAATTTTTTTTCCTGGGCACTTTATCATGAAGAGTTTCGCTCAGTAATTTTGTTGTGCTCGTTTGTTTTATATTTTTGTTCAACCCTGCCGATAGCGCACCGACAGATGAGTTTATTTCAAAGCACGGTCTAAATACTCACTAGATACTAAGAGGGGTGGGACATCTTTTGCACACAAACTGCATCGCATTAGCAATTTCCTAACCAACAGCCCTGTATACGTCCCGGTTAAGTTAGTGAGAGGTGAACATTATTTGCTATGTTATTTATCAAAGCAAATTTCACTTGTTTGAAAATACACGTAGGAACGAAAGACTATGCAAATACGCTTGCAAAAATCACAGACCGTGAAAAAAAAAAGTTTTTTTTTTTAGTCGAAAGGAAATGAGAATTGCATTGAGTTCGGGGACATGACGACGGTTCCAATAATTATAGCGATAGTGTAAACTGGCCCACTACGATCTTGTGACTCGGCAACGTGGGGCTATTCAACTTTGGAGCAGCAAGATGGTCTCCGGTGAACTTCTTTTGCGTTCGAACTGTGTTTTGTATGTGCATCAACTGGAACGATTTTTTTTTCCTTCAGCACTGTGTCAACTAGTACACACTACGTCTTTTTGGCTGGTCCAAAGAGAAACTTGCTTATTATTTATTCTGGTTCGCTTAGGAAAACTCCGAGCAACCTGAGGCAGATATTCCTGGCATTCCTAGCTTGGATTGGTATTTTATCTGGCGTGTACGTTGTTATCAATTGAGCGAATAAACGCGATGATCAGATTCGTATTATTATTTAGAATACAAAATCTAAAGCCGGGTACATGATAGTGACAGGGATGACGGTTCATACAAAAAGTAAGGAAGAAAGGCATCCGCTACATTCTGTTTCGTTTCAGGCACATATTCGGCTGCAACAAATGTGTCTTATTTGATTTTTGTTTTTTGTTATGTTGCATAACTTTTAATAAATGTCAACAACTGAGGAGTTCAATGTTTTCTTTGCAACAATCGAACGTCATCAGTTCAGTAACGCTTGGAGCGTATGAAAATGAATTGGATCTCAATATCCTGTACTTTTGCTTTTCTTCCGGCTGGGCTGACGCATTTTTCCAGGAATACTTATATTTGCCATGCGTGGTGACAAGCTGCTTGCGTTTTCGTGGGTAAACATGCTACTCAAGTCTTAACCTGCTGACTAGTTAGCCACCGGCAGACCAAGAGAGGTTGTTCAAGGGTATGAGAAAACAAACAGGTCTGGAAATGGCTGTAGATAAAGACCAGATTTTGTGCCTCCTTTAGCCGATTAGTGTTCCTAGATTTCAGTAGTCATCTGTTGCCACAGTCAATTTTACAGCACTACATCGCGTGTAATTATGTCTTTAAATGCGGGACATGTTATCATTTCGACGTCAAGCTTTCTGTATAAGACATTTTAATTTAAATGAGTCCCATGATGAGGCGTGGCTACTGACCGAACTCGTTCTGCTGTTATACATTTGGCGATACTGTAAAGCTTTTTTGGGCGGCCATAAGTATTTTGCGAAAAAGAAGGACGTTTACAATTCTCTGCAATGCGAAATTAGAGTGCAGCTCTTGAGGAGGAGGAAAGGAGGGCATGCCCCTCCTCCCCATCCTCTCCTCCTCCCCTCCCATTTAGCGGAAACTTTTCGCTAAATTTCCCGCTATATTTAGCGAAAACTTTTCCGCTAAATTTAGCGGGGACATTTTCCCGCTAAATACATGGCATACAAAAATATGTTTTTTTTAACCGAGATATTTACAGTAAATCTTAGGCCGTTCTTCAGCCTGTCACATTCCTGTGAGCGCCCTCTAAAAAATAAAGTCGTCACGGAAGAACAGACTTTTTCTCTTCATCTGCAATATCTCCGTTGTCTCACATGTACTCGATCAATGACGTCATCTAAACTTTACCGGGTTAAGGAATGAAACTGGTGAATTAGTCTAAGTCGAGGGTCTCCAAGCCCCGGCCCGCTGTCCAGATCCGACCTGCGGAGGCGTTCCGGCCACCCAGCGGATGGATGCGGTCTTTCCACAAATATACATATGAGAACGAGAGAAGACTGCAAAAAACCGCGGGATCTCTCGCCATAATATTTATTTTACATTGTCCTTCCCAGCATAACAGTCAAAGTTCCCTCCTTCATGTCTTTGTTACTATGATAAAATTCTTAAGCCTTCTCATGAATATCGGGCCTAGTCTCGTGTGTCATTACCTTTTCACATTTTCATCAGAAGATCTACCATTCTCATTAGTCTTCTGCCTGATGTGAATATGGCAATGGTCATATGCGCTTTGATTAATGCCTGGTGAGACCTCTAGGTTACTGTTAATTTATAATGTCACATTTAGCAACATATCACTTGTAGAAAGTAGATCTACTATTATTCATTCGCCTTACATTTCTTTCTTTCATTATTGCTTTAGTATACACTTTGAGTTTAAATGATTATTTAGAATTATTCATTTAGTATTTATTGTTTTAGCTATTTTCCGGCCCTCGAGTCTGCGGTAGGTCCCCAATCCTTAGCCAAAATCTTTGGAAATCCCTGGTCTAAGTTAACCTTGCTCTCAACTCTAGACGACCATATCCGTAATGTCCACTATTCACAAAACCGATTATATAGTAAATATAAATAATCTCACTTTTTGTTTTTCGCGTGTAATGAGGTTGACGCACCTTTGACTTTACGAGATCTCATGTTGCACAGACATGTGGCCTTGGACCTTATCCAGAATATGAACCAGGCTGTCCGACGCGACCCGCAGCCAAAGGCGTTAGAAAATTATAGCTCCCTGTGCTCTCAACCACCCAAAAATAATAAGCATGTTTTATGTTCCTAATATTTCGGTGCGCCACATGATGGTTGTTGTTGTTGTTTATTAAAGAGGAGCGCTTAGCAATGTTTACACAGGGGAAGTTAGTCTTTCTTAAATTCCGGCGACATTAGTTTTCTCTAAGAAAGGGATCGGCATAAAAAAATAACAAAGGGATTTACCCATGTTAATAGTCCTTTTTGACTACTCTGTGCGCGGCAGGAGATATGGGCCCGAGGATTTAACTCTTTAGTCGGTGACAAATTGAGAGTTCAGGGTAAATTCCTTGCCCCCAAACTTTCCACTTCAGCGGAGCGATCGCTGGAGAGGAAATCGCCTCCTCTACCAGCGTTCGCTCTATAAAGTAAAAAGAGGTGGGAGGAGCTTCCCTTGAACCCTTAACCTGTCACCGAATTTACAGGTGCACAATTCATCCGGTACAATGACTGAGAACCTGAGGTCCGGCATCATGCAGTAGTGATTACGTCGCTGCACGCTGGTGCAACGAGGCACCTAGCTGCAGACTTGTGCACGTTACTAAAAAAAAGGGCAAGGAATTACATTTGCAATTACACAAGGCTTAATTTTAACTAATTAGAGTTACAATGAGACTTTCATAAGAGTAAGTGACAGTTGCCACAAAAAGGAATCTGTTACTTTCACGGCGTTACTTTCTACTTTACTGTGCTAGGGTAAGACACAAAAGACAGGAGTTGTAAGCTTGCGTCACACTACTTACACATCATGCAAAAGACAGTCTGCCTACAGATTCGAATGCGAGTCGCCGAGAGATCCGTGCTTCGAATGCCGCATGGCAGTGAGTTCAAGGAGAAGACATGGGCACGCGGCATTCGAACCACGGATATTGCGGTGACTCGTGTTTGCAGACTGTCTTTTGCATGATGTATGAGCAGTGTGACCTCGGCTTTATGGAACTGTTTATTGTTGCCATTAGTCATACTTTTGTGACCCGGAGCAATAGCTAGCTCTCGAAAATATCGTGGATGCCTTGTCTCGTTTCTAGGTGAAGATGTCGCCCGCCGCGCTGAACACCCTTTCAACTGAGGCACTCACGAATGCCTGACGCACTGCATTGCGTGCTTCTTGAGAAAAATGAAACAAGCGCAAAGATTCGTTGTTACAGTCGGAGTTTTACGCCGTTAGAATTGAAAATCTATAAAAATTGTAATGCAGGTAATTAAACCTTGAATGAAATGAATGTGTGCGAATATATTCTATAAACATATATTATCTGGCCAATGTCGCCAAACGGTGGTATAAGAAAATAGGAAGAGACGGTAAGCACACATAATAAAATTATATAATATATTTTTATATCAATCTTCCATTAGCTCTAAACGCATGTCGTGCCTATTGAAACCTCGGTGAATAAAGGGATGGAGCTTTTTGGATATATAACCAGCAAAGATACTAGGGGATTGCTCGGAATATAAAAATATAACGTCGATTAAAACGGAAATATAGCCGCACATATGCCGTGCCTACCGCTTCTTGATCGCGTCCAAAACGCATGTAGCACGGGTCGCCCGTACCACACCACATGTTCTTTAGTTTAATGTCAGGTGAGGCAACGGCTCTTACCTTATACTTCCACGTCTGGAAGACGTAAGCAAGCACCTTCATTCGGGGGTAATCATTCTCGAGCTGGGGAGCGCGATTCTCGCAGCGCGGTACCACCATTGCTGAAAATTGCCATATACTACCAACAATACACTAAAAACAAAAAACAAAAAAAAACATGACGCACGAAAAGGATAACGGGCATGTAGGTGCAGGCTACCCGAAGTTTTTAGAAGATTAGGTGAAAGGCAGCAAAAATTCAGATAAACATTCGTATCGCTTAAAGATAAAAAAGTGTTCTAATATATCTTGAGCAGAATGTCAATTAATGTCACATCCTTTTGAGTCGATTTCTGTGTTGAACTTTATTCAGCGGAAAACGGAGCGTCCCCTCTTGTTGTCACGGCCTGCGGTCGTGTATCACTACTGCGTGGTGCACGTTAAAGACCCCAGGCTAGCGGTTGTACTGGACTGGCTAATTGTTCATCTACAGCTGGGAGACTCGTCGTCCGTTGAAGCAGACCAAGCTCTAGGCTGTATAAACATACACACAACCCAATTATTTTATTAGCACTCTTCCGCTTTCAAGACGAGGAAGCTCGCGCTATAGGGGCGGAGCTTCGACTGTTCTGTTCGCTTGCCACCACGGCTATAGTGAGTAGGCTCGTTCGATTTAGTTGTACCTCCTGCACCGGTGCACAAACATGTAGAGCGGTGTACTTCCGGTCGTATCTCAACACACATATCAGAAATACGATGGCCTACACTTTTCTGCACCGGTGTAGGACGTGCAAGTAAATTGAACGAGCCTATTGTTTTTTTTTGTTTTTTTTTGTGTGCCATAATGAGAGCAAGGCGCGTTGCCATAGCAGTTATTTAACGCCGATAAACAAGGCAAATTATATTTATGTATATTCTGTTTGAATACTTAGAGTGATGACAAATTACAACAGTTGCCTTTATTTTGACAACAGGGGTCAAGATACTCCTGTTGGGTCAAGTTGTGTCTAACCGCGGTTAGTGGCCGCAAGGCTGCCCGTGCAAATAGGACATTACATTTGTGCAGAAAGCCAAGCTGATTTCATTTATCATTTTATAATTAGAAGAATGGATAGTTGGGCGAATTGGTGGAAATTCATCTTGGGACACAGCGCGAACAACAGACGTGGACGAAGAAACACACGGGACGAGCGCTGACTATCAACTGAAATATTTTAATAGGAAAACATATGAAAACTACCATTCATCTTTTGCAGTTCACCCCCTGTCTGCGTATTACGAGACACTTTTCTAGCAGCGTGATGGCACGTGTTGCTATCCCAAATTCAAAAACGTCACCTCACTGTCCAGCAGTGACAAAGACGGTTGGCTGACACACGAGGTTCCCGCCCTTTTTATTTTGTACGCTTCTACTATCTCTCTAGACACTTGGTCCCTGTGCTTGAACAAAACTTCAGTGTCACTGAATCTCGGCTCTCAGTCACAATCGCGACAACGCATTGCAAGATAAGAGTATGCACACCCCTTCAACGAACTATGGTGCTCTCTTAAACGGATGTTCAAACAGC